CATTGCTGATATATAAATCTGAAAACACAGTCCAGGTATGGTACCAGGATATTCTGGCAGTGGTAGCTGAAAGGACCAGTGGTGGATACACAGCGAGTCCCTGAGGGGATTTGGGGTGCTCATGGGCAGGGATGGGTTTTGGTGCTGTGACTTTGGGCCTTGGGTAGGTAGGTCCAAGAGCTCAGGGCTGGGTTTTGGGACGGGTTTGGTTTTCACATGCAATTGACTTCTAATAAAACTCCTGTACCACCCGCTGCTGCGGGTCTCCCCCTACCCTGCAGCCTGTGGAAGGCAGGGACCCACACCCAGGGCTTGACCCTAGGTTTTGGGGTTCTTGTGTTAGCAGATGGCTACTGAGAAGAGGAGAAGGCAGGCGGTCGTGTTCCCTCTGTGGTATAGCTGATACCAGGCATGCGTCCAGCTTCATGCAAGGAAGAGCTTCCCACTCCACATGTGCAGTCCCATGGGTCCATCCCTGCTCTGTGAGTGAGGGATGGTCATGGTCCATCCCTGCATCACACTGGCCTGGCCAGGACCTGGGGGACCATCATCCCAGCCCTGGAGGCATGTTCCGCTATACCATGTGGCCGCTAAACTTGCAGCACTGAGGAGCTAAGCTGACATCTCCATCCCCAGCTGCTGCTGGCAGGTGAATCCCAGCTCTTTTCACCCAGGGGTGAACATCACTGAGGTTTAGCAGAGCAATCCCCTACTTGCAGGCCCCAGCACCAGTCTAGGGGTCAACAGGTACAAGAAAGCTATGGCAGCAGTGCAAAGATGGTGTGAATGGCAGTGGGGGTGTGGGTCTTGCACGTCTTTTCTAGCTGGGCTTTGTGAGGCTCTGCTTTCCTCCCAAGGTGCCTGGACAGTGCAAGGTGGCATCAGACTAGCTCAGAGCCTGGATGAGAACATCAGCCTCCATCTGTGCTGCCTTCCTGCAGCCTGTGCATGGGCCAAGACAGGGCAGCATGGCAGTGGCTGCCCCGTCTCACTGCCATCCGGTCTGTGCCACGCTGGCTGGCGCAAACAGATCAGTCAGATTAGCCAGCACTGGGATCCAGTTTCTTCCCGGAGCTGCTGAATGCGGGAGGGAAGTTTTCCATCACCCAAAGTGGCTGTTTGTGCCCTGCAAACAACGAGGCGTCTGGGGGAGGTATTTATTTAAGATTAAAAGTGTGTCCTTGACATGTCTTGGCGGGGCTGGGAGCATGTGGGCATCTTGCCACCCTTGCCAGCCCCATCCCAGCCTGGCACCACCAGAACAGGGACCCCAGGGAGAGGCTGTGACTGCACCTGGGATCTTGGTCCCAGCTGAGCACCCCACGCTTTTGGCAAAATTACAGCGAGAGCAACTGCTGCATGGAGCTGCAACACCCTCTGGTGCCTGCCCCAGGGCTCCCGAGCTCAACTTCATGCTTTCCTCACCCCACAGCCCCAGGGACAGAGAATTTGGAGTACACTGGCTGGCTGTGGAGAAGCCCAAGTGTGGGTGGATAGGTGCTACACTGGGTCCAGTGCTGAGCTCCTGCCTTGGCAGCGGACAAGAAAGCCACTTGGCTGCAGACTCTGGGATGCACCAAGAAACCTTGCGCTGGGATCTGAATTTGGGGGAACAGAGCTGCTTTTGGGGGAACGAACGGAGCTGCTTTTGGGGGTGATGGAGACAAGGCTTTGCCTGCAGATGGAGCTCCTTGCTTGGCCGTTGGACTCAGGGAAAGGGCTGGGGTGAGGTCTTGAACCCCCAAATTTCTTCTTCTTGAGGACTCTGTCTGCCAGACCCCAAAAGGAAAAGAGGACACTGCTTAAGCTCTCCCTGCTAGGGAGGGGATACTGGTAATTAATCCTGCATTAAGTTAACTACCAAAACGTCACTTGCCTGAAAGAGGTGAGAGAAACCCCACCCAAACCTGAGTATTAAAAAAGCAAATTTCTGCAGTGCCAGTGATGCCAGGGGAAGGAGTACAGCAGTTTTGGAGTGTCCAACTGCAGCAGTGTGGGCAGCTGAAGGTGCCCCATTGCCATACCCTGCAGCTTTGCTCCTTCCTTCCCTAGAGATGGAGGAGAAGGAAGTTAATGGAGAATGATGGAGATCTGCAGGGCAGGCAGCTGCAGGGGCTTCCAAGGGGACTCTGCCCCTCTACACACTCCTGCGGTGCAAATACTACTACTTTTGCAAGCAGCTCCTGGATTTGGGACTGCACCAACCTCTGCCTTGGGTGGATCAGCAGGGAGCACTTGCAGCCACCGGGTCCTGCCAGCCTGGCCTGTGTGCCCTTGTGCCATGCTAAAATAGCCCATTTTACCCAGGTTTGGGAGCAGTGACATGGGAGAACCTCACTGGGGGCCAGATTTGGCCCTTCTAGGTGCTCTCTGGGGCTGGGATTGGTTCTGGGGGCAGAGAGGTTGGAGGTTGGATGAGGGCAGTGGTGGGGTCCTGATCCCCGGGGTGTGGGATGGCCACGGGTTCAGCA